TTTATTTTTTTTCCCTCGCAACTGGCTTTTAACCCACATGCTCACTTTGTCTGGTTTTGTTGCAGCACGCCCCATATAACGGGATTTCAAAATATGAGATTATTATAGAGAGAGTGACACGTGACAAATGATACAGAATAGCCTTCATCGAATGCAGAAATTAGGAATACAGAATTTTGAGGAACCTAAATTGAGGCAAATAAACAAATCATACAATATATTTGCAAGATTACAATTTTTGGAATAATGTACTAAGACCACTAAAACTTGTGCATATTAAACCACGCAGACTTTGAGTAAACAAATTCGATAGGAAAAGACTCGCATTGATGTGAACTGATTTGTTTACAGCACAATATCTCATGTGAACATATTTAACTTCACGCTGAATAACTAGTCATTGATATTTTACTCACCAGATTCATCAGAACTCTCAGCCGAAACACTTGTCTCCCGTTCAGCCTGATCGCTCCGCAAGAGGGTTTTGTTAACATAAGTTATGAACACTGATTACAAAGGGAATGCCCACTATAATGCCTTTTTTTCAGGGGTATTTCTCTTAAGAATAGAATCTGCTGTAGGGATCGATTTGATTTGCACTCATAAAGATTTAATATCTTTTTCTTTGTCTCTGGATACTTTTGATTTAGATTACGTTTATTATATCAGTAGAATCTGTTTGATTCATTCATCATCACATCTGATACTTGTCATGTGATTTTGATTTACTAAGAATAATTAACCATTTTTGCTATTTCTGGTAACGGTCAAATTGTCATGCAATACATTTATTTCGTTTAGCAGCATTTAGTCGCCAAAGTTTTCAATTACAATGACGCGTCTCCTCAAATGCATGTGTGATCACAGGGATGATTTGATAAATGTTCAACAATCTCTTCGCGATTGAGATACAGTCTTTAGTATAGGAAGAACGTTCTTTCTATTACTTGCGACAAATGAAGCAGTTCATTTTGCCAGAAATTTTGGAAATTAACGATTCTTTATTTATAACACATCACGTGACTATGAGATATCATGTTCTATTATTCCTTGGTTTGTAAAAAATAGATATAATAATAACTTTGCGGGTCTTGACAGCACACAACACGGGTTATTTATACCTTAATTGTGAAGCATCTCGTCCAGACGCTTTGTCAAATCGCGGTGCGAAAATACTTGACCCGGAGAATCGCAGTCTGAGTAATGATAAAATTAATCAGACTGATAAATTGTTACTATAATTATGTCATAAATCAGGTAGTTAAGGATAAAAGTAATATAAAAAAACTCAACTTTTTTTTTAAAAAAACAAAACTATATTTCGATTTTCCGTAAAACATGTTCAACATTATTCGTACTCGTCACTTACGCTCTGCGAAATTTCCTAGTGCGTCTTCTATTATAAATTTATTTTATTATAATTTCATAATGTTCATTTTTCATTTTCCATTTAGACTTTAGGAGATACGTTTCTTCTAAAGCGTCATCTAATGGTATGTTTCCTATATAACTTTTTACTCGTTATCTATTGTGTCTTTACAATTTATTTATCGTTTAGAACAAACGTCGTCTTCTGAAGATGTGACTCGTGAAAGCGACACCCTTAAATATCCTAATTGGGATCAAACATCAACTTTACTCTAAAGAACAGCATTCTATACAATATTGACAAACGTCGAAGTGATTATCTCGACCACAGACTAACACAATCAAAGAATAAGATGCTTCTTGCTATCACTCAAACAGAGAATAAGTTACTTGTTATTGTTGTTGGCTGCACCGTATCAATTATTTCTAGCCTCTTCGCTAGTAATTATATTGCGCAAGCAGTCAGGAATGAATCTTAACGATTTATTTCTTTCATAAAAATGTAAACAAAACTTTACAAGATAGTGATAAAACACGCGAAATATAAATACAAATGATCGGGACTTTGCCTTCAGTATATGGCGAATTTCTATGCTAAATAAAGCTACCTAGACTCATACCCTAAATATATTTTCCCACTAACTTCGGGAGATGGGAATCATCTGTAAGCTGGCACACTTTGGGAACGACCAATCCGAGAAAGCTTTTGATGGGTTAACTTGAAATTGTTCTTTGATGCGAATAAAACATATACTTAGCAGAGCAAAACACTAAAACTGAACCAAAAATTATTCAATTGCCCCGTAGCATTTTGCAGACGTCTTGATATTCTGAGGTGAACATCTCTCTTTATTCCCGCTTATGAATTTTGATACCGCTCCATCTTTTCAAGAGACGATGGTTCATATTCTTTCCTTGAGCATAAAAGAAATTTATCTAGATTACATTTTTAGTAAAAGTAATATCATTTAGCAATATAAGATTGACAATTTCGACAACAAGTCGCATCTCTGACACCTACGTTCGTTCGTTCAGCAAGAAGTCAGATCACGTGCATCAGAGCAATAATATGATCAATATCATCTCAACTTTAGCGGGCTGAAAATGATTTTTACACATAATATTATATTTTCAAAAGGCTCGTATATCTTCCTCTTTTTTATAAAGCGTCGTATCGCTAATATCCTTAGAGAGTTGTTCTCTAATCTCCTTATTGACCAGGGTAAACGATGCGCGTTCTCGGTTGGATTTTTAAACGATCCAGCAAACCTTTACCGAAATTGGAGCTCTTATTACTATTACATTTTTATTTTGACATTACGAGTTCGGCATGTAGCTTGTGATGCACAAATTTGTGACGTAATCACCACATATTTGATTCACTTTATATCATATCCGTGACATCCTTTCGAAATCAAATGCAGAATAACCGCACGTTGCTCAACCTGCCTCCAAAAAAAAAGCCCGTTATCTCGCAACAAAAAACTCCGATAAAACTTGGCGACGACGATGACGACGACGACGACGACGTGGAATTTTCAAGTACTTCTCGACAGGCCAGGGAGATTAAAGTTGTAAACACTCAAATAAACCAAACAGCAGTCAGTAAGCAAGATCAAGAAGAATATGAAAGGGCCCTCGCCGAAGATCGTACGGCCTTCATGTACGACGAGGTGTATGATAGCATGAAGGCAGCTGAGAAAAGGGAATTGTCACTTACACATAACGTTGAACAAGAGAGGGAAAAGGTGTGTTTGCTCGTTTTGAAACACTTTTGATAGATATGTAAACTGCCCACTCATTTGACTAACGATATGGAAAGGCAAACAGAGAATTGAAAGATATACTGTTAGCTGCTTCACGTAGACAGCGAGAATTCTTGCGAATACAAGAGCGCAAAGCCCAGCGAGAATTAGAGGCTGAAGGCGAAGAACTTCGAACGACAGAGAGATTCATTACCTCTGCGTAAGAATTGATTGTTGCTTCCTTTTTTTTTACTTGCTATGCTGTTAATTATTTGATCTCATAACGCGATTATACAGGTACCAGGCTCAACTTGAAGAATTAAAACAATTAGAAGAGGAAGAGAAAAGACTAGGTATGATTACAAGATTAATGGAAATAATTACCGAGTTATGTTATTTATGCTTACTCAATTGATTCGCTCTTGGCGATTTAGAACAAATGGACGCTCAGGGTCAGAGGAATCTAACTCACTTTTACCGCGATCTGCTTGAGCGACATAGCTCCGTAAAGGAAGCGGCAATTCGCGCCAGTCGGGAAACTCCCGCATCAGCAAGCTCAATCCCAGTTTCGGTAGAATCCGATGACACAGAAAAGACGGATAGAGAACTGGCAGAACAGGCGCGCGCGGCTGGCAAACGCGTCGATCTGAATGAAGATGAAGAGATCATCGATAAACGGCAACTATTATCTGCCGGTTTAAATGTTGGGACAAAGAGACCACTCTCGCAATTACAATCCAATAGTAGTAAACCGGGAGGGTCATTCTTTACTCGAACAAGTCGCGAAACGAACAGAACACTACAAGCAAGACAAGAGGAAGTGCGACGACGCGAGAAACAACAACAAGAACTGCAAAGACAAATCCGTGAAAAGGAAAGAAAGGAAAGAGAAGAAGAGAAAACGAAAGAGGAAGAATTATTGAAAAAGTTTGCTAAAAAGAATGATGAGAAAGCTGTTTCTGACGCCAGGGCTAGATATCTGGCTAGAAAAAATAAAGGAAAAGACTAATGAATAATTTGATAAATCATATGTTAATGGTAATAAGCATTGAGACTACGGTCATGATTAACAATGAATTCGTGGCCGTTAGAGGCGGGGGAGGTAAGACAGCCCTGATGGAGTGATGAGTTAGAATTGTATCATAATTTTTGATAACGGTGTCGATGTTGACTGAACAATACTTGATTAAGTGGGCGACCGTAACATAATTTGTATCGTCACGACCATAACTACCTTACCAATGTTATCTGATTAATAAAAGTACTACTATATCACCAAAGTCTTGTCGACAAACATAATAATGCAAAACATATGGATTCTCATACTCCTCACTTTTGAGAACGGCCTACAAAAGAACGATATTGGCAATGTCAAGTAATTGTCTTTGACTTTTTGTCAAACTGTGCGGTCAGCATTTCAAGGGAATTAATGGTAATCTGGCTGGCTTCACTCACATATTCATCTCGTGGCTTGAAATATAGTGCTTGTTTACCCAATTCATAAGGGGTTGTGTTGCTTAGAAGATGCCTTCATATTTCCATCTGACAAATAACCTTTCAAAACAATAAAAAAACTTTATTCAATTCGTTCTACTACATTAGCGCTTAAACAGATTTCTATTCTCTTCGCATTATATGTAAATATCAGTATCGCAGACTCATGCTTCTAATGACAAATATCGGAATAATCTTGGTTTACACCAAGATTTTTCCCATTAACCGTGAAAAATCCTAATGCGGCTCCAATCACAACACTGAGCATTAACCATCCATTATACGTCATGAATATTAACATAATAAAGAAAGATAAGCCGACTTGTATGGCGTACAGAAGTGAGCGCAAAACTCTTTGATTTGTGGTTAATCTTGTAAAAGTACGAGAAAGTTCGAATTCGTGATGCAAGGATGTTAGCAGGAACAAAAGAATGCGTCAATAATAGCTCGCAAACAAGCACACCGTTTTATACAGACTACAATAAAAATCAAAGCCAATTACCTAACACTTCTTCCCGGACGGGCTAACGACACCCGATCATCTCTGTCATCCGTTCTTCTCGTTCTCCTATTCTCTTCATCTATTAAAATCTTGTCGTAAAATTTTCTTATTCTTCGGAGATATTCGAAAGATGCAGTGACGCAAATTATCACCAAGCAAGAGATCAATAAGCTTTTCAATGTGTCTGCTCGCCACCATGAGAAAATAACGCAAAGGTTATCGTAAGAGAAAGTAAAGATCATCTGTACAGGGAATGCAATATTGGATGAAGGGCATAGAGAAAGTGAAGCGTGAGCAGAGAAGGAACAAAATCATCAAGAAAGAAACGAAACTTACATTCATAGAACATTGCATGCCATGACCACCGTCTCCATGGCCTCCGTGGCCTCCGTGGTCTCCGTGGTCTCCGTGGTCTCCATGATCCTCATGACCGAAATGATACATTGCGTTTATTTTGTGTGCAAGCAGGCCAGGAGAACTATGGCTGTTTATATAACGTCTACGAGAAGACGTTGGTGTCACAAACAATTCTAAATCAGGAATTCATAACGTCAGCGTTTGCCATACTCCTTGTTTCGTGGAAAAAAGATCCAAGTCAAATAAGATAAATAACCACGACAGAAATCGGCAAGTTTGAACGTAAACATTCTCTATTAGCGTGTTGTACCTTTCTCTAATTGGTCTATTTACAGCAAGCTTCGCAGTTCAGCGGTTGGTGATAATGCACTTGTGGGACAATAATACACCAAATACAACCGTGGGATTATTGTATGATTGCCCAATTTAGAAACTGTGAACCGCAACCAATTTTCTTATTTGTATACAAAAGCAAAAAAGTGCAATTCATTTTCCTTCTCATCGAGTTTATACGACCGATTCTGGGCATCATACGAGCCATTGAACTTAGCAAGATCTTCTGATCCTTATCTTTCTACGCTTTCAACGAGAATGGGCACAAAACAAACATTGGCATACGCCCACTCCCCGTTCATGTAATAGTATAAAAATATTATCCTAAATGCACACACGTGACCAGTGTCGGTCTCAAGATCACATGTTCATGGTTTTGTGGCGCAAATATCACCGGAATAATTCTCGACAAGTTCATACCAAATTACATTGAAAAAATGTCCAAACAGCAGAGCTCAGAACTACCCCCACCTAAATCAGCATTAGACATTGCAGTAAGCCAGCTGGTCCGTGCAGCCGTCGGTGGAATACCTAGCTCGATTCCCGATGAAGATTTGAATAAATATGTTGCGGATCTCATTTTAAAAGAAGCAGAAGCAAAAAACCTCAAGTACAAGAAGGAAGGCGTAAGAGCTTTCTTGCCTCATACAGGATTGTACGTAAATTTTATGTTCAGTCTTTGGTTAATGCAAGACTTTAACCCTAAATGTCATTTTTACTCTTCAGACCACCTTGCAATCTGCCGAAAACGAACAAAAGATTTCTAGTTAACATAGTTCAAAACGTTGACTCTCACAATAAGCGTCAATTGAGGGATAAAGTTAACTCGAGATCCAGTTCGTCAAACCACAAGCAGAGTTATAGAACAAGAGATCGCCGTGATGACCGTAACCGACGTAGACGTCCTCGATCAAAATCTCCCGAGAGGAAACGGCTGCATAGCCGCTCGTCATCAGAAAAGTCAAGTCACCGAAAGCATTCTAGGTCTCCCTCGCGGTCTCCGTGTCAGTCTTCAGATTCGTCTTCACAGAAAAAACGACAGAAGAAAAGCGATGATATTGATGAGCGAGAGATAAAGTTTGAAAAGGTTAGGGAATGGGATCGCCCCAAATTGATAACCGGATGGGATCCCGAGAAGGAAAGGACATTAGAATCTTCTCCACGATAGAATACAGAATGATGTATTGTTTCCCGTATTTAAGCTTATGGGTCTCGATGACCTGTATCCACTTGTAAAGTCATTTAACTTTAGTAATATATATAGGCTTTAATAATAAGTTTTTTGGTTTATAGGCAACGGGGTTTCCAGAATAGATTTATGGATAAACTGGCAATTGACATGAAAAAAACAAACAATTGAGATCGCATTTTTGAATCGGCAGTAGAGATGATGCGTATTCAATGGAGCAGTAACTCATTTAGTCAAAATAAATATCCAATTATCTTTAGCCGTTTTAAACCATTTTTTTTTATTTTATTTTACATGATCAGTTTTGGGCCAGCAAAGTTTATTTTCGTACGGCTATTTTTTTTATCCATTCGTAGCATTCTAATAACCTGCATGTATCTATTCCTAAATCAAACGACCAGGCATGTCGAAGCATGCGGGAAGAATTCTTTTGTTTGAACAGTGAATAGGGTAACCTGAATTATAGTTTGTCCATGAATTTGTCAAGAGATGGAACGTCTTCGGATAGACCCTTTCTCTTACGGATACCTTTCACAATTTCTTGTACTTTGCTTACTTCAAGAGGCGTGCCATTCATTAGTTGCCACTGTACAAACAATAGTTGGGAATAAGTTCATTAGCTTTGAGACGACAAACAATAAAAAAAATAATAACAACGTGGAATATTGCATACATGACTGAAAACACATTGAGGGAACGCCTGTCCTCCCGTGTGCGATCGCAAGTCAGCCGTAAAGCCGAAAGATTCATTGACCTAGAAATGTTATCAAAGTTACGGTTAAAATACGGTAATATCAATATTACATATAATGCTATTTGTATGCTGTCATGTTAACGACAATATACATTTTTACTTACAGGTAGATATGCTTTTACATTGTAAAGAGGAGTACCAGGACGTTGTTCTTCCTGGAAGACGTGTCCACGACGTCTGTTCAATACACCATAGATGCCACCCATAGCTTGTTCGGGACACTGAATCTCTACCAAGTACACTGGTTCTAATAGGCCAGGTGTGGCTGTCAACACAGAAGCATACAGGACACGTCGACACGTTGGAATAATTTGACCACCTCCGCGATGGATAGCATCAGCATGTAAGACAACATCAAGAATATTGAATCGACATGATCGCATATTCTCTTCAGCGCAGACACCTTCTTTTGTGGCCCACTGGAATGCAGCAACGCACGAGTCCTTAATTTCATTAAGATACTGTACTCCTTTCGTGCAATCAACCAATAGATTCGGTCCAGTCGTATCAGGACCGAAACACCAGATTTTACGAGCGTCAGTAACATCCCAACCAAACTCTTCTGCAAGAACGCGTGCACGAGATTTGAAGTCGTCACGTGGTGTAATTTTGCCATTTTCGATTGCAGCGGACAATTCTTCTTGCATTGGTAGTGCTTTCATAAATATACGGTTATGCTTATTCGGTGACTTCGATAAAGCTGTTACTGAAGATTCGGCCTGGACGGTCTCACGATACGATACAACTGGATCTCCTGTTTTTATGGGAACTTGAGCGTGATCTTCCTCCAGATCTTTTAGACAGATTTCTAAATGTAATTCACCAGCACCAGCAACAATGTGTTCACCGGATTCTGACGTCATACATTGTACACATGGGTCCGACTTTGATAACCGCTTCAATCCTTCAACGAGTTTCGGCAGATCATTGGCATTCTTGACATCGACTGCAACACGCACGACAGGAGATACAGAGAATTTCATGACTTTGAGATTGTGCGCCGTTTCGGATGTTGTGATGGTACCGGATTTTAGTAAGTATTGGTCAACACCGACAAGACCGATGATATTACCGGCTGGGCAGTCCTCAATAGGCTCAACATAACGTCCCATCATAAGAATTGTGCGTTGAATAGATTTGACAAACAGATCTTCCTTCTTGCCTGGTTGGTAGTTGGGTCCTTGGATGCGGACTTTGAGACCTGAGCGGACAGTACCGGAAAACACACGACCGAAGGCATAAAATCGACCTTTGTCGGTTGTCGGCACCATTTTAGAAACGTACAACATAAGTGGGCCGTTGGGGTTGCATTCGCGGATGGCAATAGCACATTCGTCGTCAGCCGGTCCTTCGTACAACATTTCAGCACGGTATTTTTGTGCCGTGACGGGTGATGGAAGGTGGATTACTATCATTTCCAGTAGAGCATCTGCAGCCGGTAAAAACTTGCGCATGACAACTTTGAGCAGTGCCTTTCCTTCTAAATCCTTCTCGTCTCCTTTAAGTTGTATATCTAATTTCTCTATCATTTTATTTGCTTCATCTTTTTTGTAGTTCATAATAGCGTCGAATAGTTTGAAAATTGGATCGAGTACAAACATACAGAAAGCACGTTCAAGTGGCTTGCCCTCAGTAGTAACGCCTTTTGTCGTCCATTTCTTTGTTGCAGGATTAAAGTAGTTTTCACCCCAAAGACGTCCCATCATTTTGTCGTAATCAACACCAAATTTTTTTGAATAGCGTTGGGCGAATTGACGGAGGGTAAAACCCCAACCATGAAGACCTGATCCGAACGCGACTGTGCCCTTTTCAGGATATACCTGAAGATCTCCAAGGCTAGTATCGAGATACGTTGAAATGATGACATTTACGGATTCGACTGTACGTTGGAATGACTATAATTGAGAAAGTAAGTCATTAACTGAATATATAACAGAGGTATTTAACCGTTTCGTCAAAGACAAGTGTGCCCATGAATTCTATATATTCACGATGATGTATAGTACACATCGTCCCCCCAATCAATCACATATTAATTGTATATTGATAGTGTCATACTCACAGTGTATAGATCTTCTTTTGTAAGCTGTAACTCGAGTAATGCACGGTCAACCTTGTTGATAATGACAACGGGCTTGATACGTTCTGTTAAAGCTTGTCGTAAGACTGTTTCGGTCTGGACGCAGACACCTTCAACACAATCGACGACGACTAATGCTCCATCGGTGACACGGAGGGCAGCAGTGACTTCAGATGAAAAGTCGACATGTCCAGGAGAGTCAATTAAATTAATCAAAAATTCGTTGCCTATACGTTTAATCAGCATGAAAATAATGATTATTGTTAGTGAAAGTTGACTAATGTATGTAAAGCAACAAGTATGATAAGCATCTTATAACTACGAAATTGTTCAACATTTAACATGCTGAACCGTTTACTTGTGTTTAATACTCAACACATCGAATCTTTTTCATCTTATCAGCATCTATCCCGCAATACTCACCCTCTGTTTTCTGTTTAACATCACTAATATCTTCCTTGTTCAATTCAAAGTACATAGATATAGCCGTCGATTTGATTGTAATACATCTTTCCTGTTCATCTGCACGAGTATCAGTGAAACGAGCTTCACCAGCTTTAGCTGATGAAATAATACCGGCTTTTGAGACCAACGAGTCAGTAAGCGTTGACTTCCCGTGATCAACATGTGCGATGACGGACATGTTGCGCACGTTAGTTACGCGGTCCATCTGTTAGCAAAGCACATGGAGGATGGGGAATAAAACGCATTTGAGGTATAAATCGGGATAAAAAAATGAGTAGGTCATCATCAGAAACAGAGATTTCACTTAGATACGGTTGCATATGTCCTTTAGGGAGGAGATAGCCGAAGGGCAAAATGATGCGTTTACGAATAAGATAGGCAAGTTAAACTTACAAGAGCGCGGATCTGGTCCACTGTAAAGTTCACCTACGTATAAAAATCAGTAAAAAAAATAAGCAAGTGATCGATATGCTCTCCATATACAGAATTACAATTTAATTCTTTCGAGTCAAGCCATCATCCAACCTATTTTCTAACGTACCATGTTTCCGTCTTATTAAATAGACTGGTAAACGGATATGAGGAGAACGCGGGTGTTAAAATCGAATATTAGTATGAGGTAAAAGCGTATTAAGACACTATAAATTAGAATATAAATGCAAGGGATTTCCTGCTCACAAGGAAAAAATGCGAGGAAACAAAATTTTTTCATTTGATTTCTAGAGATTTTATAGGATCAAACTGGTAAGGGGTGTAATGACTGCGGAATTGGAAATAGTGCAACGTTAACCGCAGTTAACGCCCACATGATAATTAAAGAATTGTTGCTGAGGTCAGCGGCGCAGAATTATGAAGGGCTAAAGTTCAAGTGAAACAAACAGTAATAACCGGCACATTTTTATTAATACAATATTCGTTGTAAGAGTAATACAGATCGTTGAAGGCGTCTCTTGTATTCTATTTTTGCGTGTCAATTTATTTCAAGACAGTGAGATTGATTATAAATGACTTATTCTATTTTTATCTTGTTTCCGATGTGTTATTTATTTATACTAACGCTGTTTACTATTAAAATAAATTTTGTTACCAAACCAATTAACAGACATAGTTATAAGGAACAATATAAAGACGGCTGCGCCACGTTGAGTAGTTTTAAGTTGATAATGACGTAACTTTCCTATGATAATTTGGACAACAATTTTAGTTTTATTGAACAGTTAATGCCGTTGTTACTTTGTTAGACGAATACTCTGTGTCTGGCACGCAATGTGAACTGATAAGCACCCTTCTACTATTTCGAATTAATTTTCATTTCTCATTAAAATTTTATAAATTACTACCCTTACTTGTCATCACGACCCTTCGAAACTAACTTATCCATATAATATGCAAATATCCAACCATGTAATGCTATTGCATGTAAGACACGGAAAAAATTACCATCACATCCGCTGCTATCGACCAATATAATGATATTTTCCGAAAGAGTAAATTGTCCATAGAATCAGAATCAATCGAAATACGTTAAAGCTTGACGATACAACGCATACATCATCAACGTATAAAAGTATCCAATACGCTTGATAGTCAACTAGTAAAACAGAGAAAGTCTTTCTTATTATCCGCATATACAGCGCTGGGTAATTTTTAAAACTAATTTTGTACTTTAATTAGACGGCTTCAACGAGTTTACGAACTTCATGGCGAAGCGAGAATTTTCATAGACTACTTTACGCTGATCAGCATCTGAAGACCAAACAGCTTGCACGCTCCGTTAACTGTCACCTATCAAGCAACGAAATCTAGTTGTTTTTCACGGTGAGCGAAAAGAGAAAGGAGGAGACATGAATAGCGAAATTCATAGTAGTTTCGGTAGTAATATCGTTTGATAATATTTTCGTGATTTAGATGTCTGGATTAAAAATCCACTACTATGGATAGTCCGAAGAATCTTTAGTTTTATCAAAACGACGCGTTTTTACTTTTGTTTCTAAAATTTATTGAATCGGCATTAAGTGTTACGGTTCAATCAGCAAGTCACATGGTAAATCTTGCTCCTGAAAATTAAATGTCACCAGGCCGCAGTAGCAAAAGTGGGTTGCAGCAAAACGGTAATAGACATTGGCTAATTTAGGAATTTCATAGTGACAGGCGCAGAAACGGGTTCTGGTGACACCCAAAGATATAATTAACCCTTGTCCAAAACTCATGTCATATGTGCTCCTTAATATTCAATGCTGAAGTATTGAATATAATAAACTATCAATCTTAATCTCATCCTTAAATAATATTCTATAAGTCATATGATGATATTTGACCTACATGTCATATTAATATAAAAATACATATACAGTCTATGTCATAGTAAATGGGCATGCTCAACAAAATTAGAATTAATAAATAAACAAATTACTGATCTGTTAAAATGTTTTTTATTTACTTATTGCAATTAGCAAGATAATAATAATATTCATTTTTGACATTTTGTTTATATATTTCTGATAAGTACTATTGATGAGTTGCCCTATTACTATTATTCTTGATATGATTATGATTACGTATTGCAATAAGACAATGAAGTACTTGACGACGTCCATCAACAGTTTTTAGGTCAATACCTGAAGTCTTAGTATTTGTGCTGGCCAGCGTGTCATGATAATATGTTCATTAGTATTAGCTGGCAAACCAACAGCCAATTCTCCAAAGTAATTATTACTGATTTCTGATAAGTACTATTGATGAGTTGTCCTATTGTTCTTGATACGATTACGTATTGCAATAAGACAATGAAGTACTTGACGACGTCCATCAACAGTTTTTAGGCCAATACCTGAAGTCTTCGTATTTTGTGCTGGCCTGCGTGTCATGATAATATGTTCATTAGTATTAGCTGGCAAACCAACAACCAATTTTCTAAAGTAATTATTACTGATGTCAAAGCGATAAATGTGACATAATAATAAGAACAAACGAACCGAACAGCAAAAGCACTTGATCTCCCATTTGACGATTTTCATATGCAGCTGCCAAAAGTTCTGCTGCAATCTGTGGTTCACCACAGCCATTGTCAACTGATATATTCTGTAGGTGTTTGCTTATCCTAAAATTGCGCAATATTAATATTGTAACAAAGTTAAACTGACATGAAAATATGTTAAAACTGCAAATAATGATTTGTACATACTTTTACAATGACAACGTTGATATTATGTGCTGCAATAGTGAATTCTGAATCAGCTTTGATTTTACGTTTTAATGCTAAAAGAAAGTAAAGAATGTCGACTATGATAGAGAGTGATGGTTAGCAAACATTGTTATGTATGATTTATGAGATAAAAAAATAACTTACGAGATAGTTTAATAGTTATGTATAACGCGATAAACGAGATACCAAAACGTTTATATAATCGCATTACAATTTGAAAATGTTATTACACATTTGTCAAGGTCACTTCTTTTTTTTTCCCGTCTACTACTACTGGTTGTGCTTAAATCCAAATCGGGTAACTGGTTTTCAGACTTCTTTTCTTTCGGGCGTCAAATCAGTCAGTGTAATGAACAGGTGTGCGTTTTCATTATTATCGGGTGTACGTGTACATGCATTCCGAATATAACTTTTCAAGCAATTCCTAATAATATAGCAGTAAAACAATAAAAATTTCGTAAATAAATGTAAGAAAATAATGTAATATACTTAGATCAGTGTGAAAACAAAGCTTAAATTTAATAAATGCTAGTACAGAATGTTTGATTAACCCTACTTCAACAGCATTCGTTGGTAATTTTGATCGTAAAACCTCACAAAAAACATAGTCCATGAAATGGTACTGAACAATTATTTCATTATCTGTAAAAAGTAATAGAATGTTAGTTTTTTATAATAGTAACAATTTTCAAAGTTGGCAAATACTTACAATAAACCTGTAGACCGTACAATTTTAATAAACTCAAATTTATGTCTGTACAATCATACTTTTCGCAAATCCTATTAATTATAACCTTTTGTCGTTAAAAAATGTGAATGATCAAGTTTGTTCGGTGCCCACTGATTTCACTGATAGAGAACTCAAGGTCAATTGGCTTCATAGACCAGATGATATCTATTTTTCGGTCTTAGTCTGCATTACGGTCTTCCCTATCATCTTTCACCGATTGCGATCTTCTGATGAAGCGAATACAATGTTGTTTAAAATAATATCAAAAATTTTATAACATGTTATTCATATACCTACACATAAATATTCATTTCCCGGTGCGTGCGTCGGAAAAGACTTCGAATTAGAGGGGTAAAGAATATTTTCCGATACCCAAATTCGGACAGATTATAATTCGTTAAATCGTTATCCTCTTCAAATAATTCAACACTAAGAAAAAAAAAAAACTTGAATATAAGAATCAAAGAAGGTATAGGAAACATATTATTAAAATGGCTTTTAATTGCATAATATTCAAGTACCGTATTTCTCGGACTAAAGTAGTACCAGTGGTATTTTACAAAACCTCGTTGTACCATGGGGTACTATACACGGGGTGGTCTTTGATCGGATAGTGGTATTATACTAGGGTATTACGATGGGAGTATGTAAATCGCTATTTTATTGGATGTAACGTATTGCTTGCTTTAATATGACGATTCGAAAGGCACGTCTTAGCGTCGTTGAGAAATTGTGCTGGATCAATCAAAATAAAATTGATCGCATGATCGCACGTGATTCTTGTAACACTCGACATAATTCAAAATCTTTATCCCATAGTAAAACGCGTCGAGAGAAACAAAGAAGTTATTTGTTGAATCACGCAGATCCTCGCCGTTGAACTTTGTTTCGAGGTTCAGATATCCGTAGTTCAAATGCTCATTATTACGGCTAAACCAGGCTTTGCAAGAAGCGCCAGGTTCTAAGAAGTTGTTAAATCTGAGAAGGAAATGGAATAATGACGAATATAGGAATGATTGGGCACGTTATGAAGATTTTCTAGAAGATAGAAAAACCAATGTGCGTAGTTATTTTTTTACTTGAGCCGATTAAAAGCAAAAATCTTTGAATATTAGCAAAAGTAAAAACGGAAATATTTCTTTTCATGAGCAATTAGACGATGGACTAGATGGTAAATCGGTACGTTAATTGTTATTTGTTTATTTTATAAAATAATAATATTTTTATTGGTTCAGAGACAGAC